TTTCTATTTTTGCATCATTCTGATAGAAAAATGTAGAAATTTTTTTTAACCGCTTCTTGAATTTTCTATCATTGGTATTCCATAATACCAAGGGAATCTCCCTCAAAACGAAATGACATCATAATACAACCAATAACATTCCTATACATATCCAAATGAGCTAATTACCTTTTGGAATTTTCCAGCTACAATTGAGATCTTTCGTTACAAAGTCATTCATAATAGATTTCGAAGGGCGGATGCACATGAAAAATTGAAATGCATACTTCTATTTTTTTTGCATGAACAGAAGAAAATTATTTTGTGCCAGTGGCCACCAAAATAGCTTAAATAGGCAAAGTATGCATCCTAGAAGCAACACTATAATATATAATAACATGCAAATAAATCTGGGCAAATATGACTTGAAACATGGAGGGCACCCAAGTTATTTTGTGCAACTCGTGGAAGGGGCTAAATAAATGTTTTTAAAACTATTTTTGTGGCAAACCTTAAACAAAAAATGCTATCAATACTGAATTAATCCACTAATTATTACTGGAATTTCTCAGGTATTTTACATAAAAAAGATAGTGATTTCACCAAATCGTTTTTGGCTGTTCTTTACGCCTACTGTTTTAACAGGCACAGTCATAAAATGACTCAGTATGTTACCCCACGGGTAGTTAACCGAATCAAAAGAAGTTGGTAGTTTGATGGTTAACAAATGTTTGTGATCATTGCTCTGGATTCAGATTAAACTTTTTTTAATAAGTAGGCCTGACATGACCAGGTGGTTTGGATGATGAATCCGTCCCACCAAACATGCTCACCCTTTCAGCTGTGAAGGGGTTATAATGTGACAATCAATCCCACTATTCATTGGTAAAAAGAGTAGCCCAAGAGTTGGTAGTGAGTGGTGATGACTAGCTGCCTTCCCTCTAGCCTTTCACTGCTAAATTAGGGTTGGCTAGTACAGATATACCTCGTGTAGCTTTGCACAAAATTCAAAACAAACCAAATCTTAATAAGTACTCTACTGCAACATACTTGATCTTTGTAAGGGCGAAGTAGATAGTGTCGGAGGTGGTGGAGAGAAACACTGACATGAAGTTGGCCTCGCAGATATAGATGGGGGTGTGCTGCTACTGTAGTTACGTCTTCTTCCGCTTCCTGGTGGTGTGCCAATAGTGAACTGAACTGTAATCAAAATAAATTCATTTCTAGCTGCTCGGCATGATGATAAAATGCACATAGATAAACTACGTGGCAGTATTTAGTAAGTAGAAAAACAAGAAGAAAAGTTTTGTTACCTGTAGGAGGGGAGAGAGAGCAGATGTCAGTGACGGTTCGGCTACGTTCACTAGACTGAGAACTTGATGAATCTTTCCTTTTAGATACTGAGTTACGTACAGAGTGCTGACGGAAATGAAAGGTGATTTAAAGACTCCATTAGTTTCTTACTTTAAACAGCAGTCCTAGCTAGAAAATTTCAAGAGTATTTTGCAAAATTTTAAATATTTAGTAAGATAAAAATTCCACATTTCTGTTGTAACAGTAGTTTTTAATTTTTTATCCAATAAATGCTGCTACACAACCATTTCTATTACTACATGTTTAATGTGATACATACATGTTATTATTATGGAAACAAAAGAACATCCAGATTTACACAACAGTAAGTCTCTTAAAACAGAATGATAACTTTTTCTAGTTTTTCCTTTCTTTTTTCATACTTATTAATATTTTATTTTAATAATAATCAACAATCAGTTATTTGTCTGACTTCGGTTTCCATACCTTTATCACAAATTTTTATTTATCATTTTATGATTAAATAATTTTTATGTAATTGTTGAACTTTTTTTTTTTTGAAACTCATGTGATAGTGCTGAGAACTAACATTATGATTCTA